TTGATGTATATACAGGCAAAACAAATAATAAATTTATCCAGTGATAGCCAAAGCGACCAATTATTGTATACGGGTCCGGTCACTCGTTATGGTCCGCAATCGGTTGCCAGCGCAACGTGGTTAAACAGTCAGCTCCCAATTTCGCTAGTTCTTGTTATAGAAATTTTATATTTCAAATAGATCATGATATTATTGATGATAATGATATTCAGAACAGCGTGAGAGCAGAGATAATTGATAAAGTACGCATGGTTACACATTAACAAATAGATGCGTTAAGGCTGTTAAAAAAAAAAAAAAAAAAAAAAAAAAAGAATGATGTGGAAAGCGAGTAAACGACCTGACGCATCCGGTCGATATCGTACGTTCGCGTATATCTACTGAACATGGAGTAGAAAGAGAATGACCGCAGAGACAGATAAAGAAACATTAGCTTTTCATGGTAGCGACGAAATACCATGGTAACAGTGAATTTCGCTCGTGAGCTTCGATTTCGTCGCGGTGAAATCCTCGAGGAATAGGATATCGAGTTCGACTTTCTCTTGAAGCGGTGCCGCTTTGTTCTCGGAAAAAAATGGATTGTTGGATTTCTTTTTTTTTTTAGGAAAGAAGAATCTATTAAAGCAAGAATTTTTAGTGATGTTTACAGCATTAAACGATGTTTGCATCGTGATTTGTTCATATTTATTATAGTTTATCAAATTTATTAATACTAATTTTTTCTTATTCTTTTTTTGAGAAAATCTTCAGTCATCAAAACATTTAGCCATTATTACATAATATACTGTGACATAATTGTTACAACATAATATTCAAAATATCATTAAAGTAATTTCAGAGTTATGTTAAAGTTATTATCAAAAATAACAACTGTTCCGTCGACTTATATGACTTTTTTTAAACATTACTAAGAATAACAACGGAAACTGTTCCGCTGTTATAAGTTTCAATATTTGCATGAAAAGTCACTTACCTCAATTGACTTCCATATGTTAAAAAAAAAAAAAGAGAACATAAAAAAAGATTCTTAATCGCTGCTCGCGAATTATTCCGCTTCGCGACGCTAGACAGATTAATGAGTTGTGAGAAATATTCCGAATTAACAACGCAGTAATGGTTCTGAAGTGACTCCAAGCTGTTGATCTTCGCGTTGAGTGGACGTAAGTTTTACCTAGCTAATGGTGACTATGCGAGTAGAAGCAAAATTCTCGTACATGGCGCGGCCATGGTGCGTCCAACCCTTCGGTCCGGTGTCGAACGAGGCGCGTGAAAATTATGTATGTACAACGATAAGTACATAACGCCTGTACGCGACGTCGAACAGCTACTTTGTCTGGTGGAAGCGGGCACGCAATGTGGCCACCATTGCGGCTGAAACGCAGGACATGGCGCGGCGGCCGACCATTATAAAAATAACTGCTGATTGGACGCTCTACCAAGAAAAATCATAATCGCATCCTGAAATGGCATCTCGCCTCTCCTCTCTTTCTGCTTGTTTCTTTCTCTCTATCTTCGTATCTCTACCACCTCTTCTTTGTCGCTAGATTTTTACCTTGGTGTCGAACAATGAGATTCGTTCCCCCGTTGACTCCCACTCGACCATTCTCCGAGGGGCCAATTTCTTCCTTTTTTTTTCAATCATCACATAAATATCGAGTACGATTGTATTCTCAGAGTGCTGACAGATATTGGAATTTCCTTTCCTTTACAGATCACTCGGAGCAAGCTCTTTACTTTTACATTCGCGAGTGCCATTTTTTGCCATTTTTCTGCTCTCGCGAGAGTAACGCGCATCGTTGCAACGATTCGTGCAAGGAAGAAACGCGAAAACACGTTGTTTGTAGACACGGGGTTTGAAGTCCGCGAAGGCGCAAGGATCGGAGTCAGGGGGAGAATCGGGCGCCATTTTGCGAGCACACACAGCTTTTATCGCCGCGCCCTATATAGGAGCATTATGCTCGGGTTGCCGGGTTGCGCGTATATCAACAATAATTGCAGGACCAATAATAAAGCTGGAGGGACCACGCTCGATAGCCCGAAATTGCTGGTTCCCCTACCCGAGCCTGCAACGTTTTATTGCCTCCGCTCTCCGAGAGCAGGAATGGCGGCAGTCGTCCCCCTCGTCCTTCTCGATGGCGGATAAACGATCCCACGATACCACGACTCAGTCTACCACCAATCGGCCTTTCGATATTCGCCGATGCAAACCAAATTGGATCCACACCGAGCGCCGAGGATGCTCCAATTATTTTCTCGACAGAAGAGTGACAAATTGACGATCGTTTCGATCGTTTTCTCGGTAGCTCGAAATTGTTGAAGATCAGCCTGAATTCGGTGACACGAGCTACGCTCACAATCAGTCTGCTTCGTCTAGATGCTTCAGGCTGCTGCTGTTATTATTAGCGATATATACCTAGCGTTGGCTGCTCACTCTCGTTATTATTTCTTTCGCTGATCGTTGCTGCTGCTGCTGCTGCTGGATGCTATTGTAGCAAAGTGTTTCGCGAGCTCGTAAACAGCCGCAAAGGAGAGCTCGCACGCGCGATAGTCACGAGCATCGGCCTTGTTAAAGCTCCGTTAACTCGAACCTCTGGACAAACTCGTAAAATTTACCGGCCCCGAAGAAGATTACCACGCCGGTGTATTCACGGCTGCTGGTGAATTTTCGCGTGACTTCGAATCGAACCAGAATTACGCGTTTAATAGAACGAACGTATCGGCTCGCGACGTTTTTCTCCTCTTTTCTCCGTTCCTCTCCTTTTCACCGCGATTGTTTGACGCCGGAACTACCAAAATTTCGAAAATGACCAATTTCTAATTTTCTATAGATTTTCTGTATATTTGTATATAACATTTCAGACACTCGTGTGACTTTCTAATGAAATACGCTGACAGAAGCTTCTTCTTAGCGACCTTGCACTTTAATTATTTTCTATAGATATTTTCTATGTTTGTATATAACATTTCAGACACTCGTGTGACTTTTTAATGAAA